TGATGGTAGATGGTGATAATGATTATAGTGATAATAACGATGGTGATGATGATAATGATTTACCTTTGCAAACACACATATCGCACCCATTCTCGTCCTGTTCGAAACCGTGCTCACAGTACATCATGCACATAACCTCTGGACACAAGGGGTTGGCTGAAATAATAATAATGATGATAATAATAATAATAATAATATGAATAATAATAATAATAATAATAACAATAATAATAATATTAATAATTATAATAATAATAATGGGATAATAATAATAATAATGAAAATAATGATGATGGTAGATGACTATAATGAATATAGTCTATAATAATCATATTAATGATAATAATAATAATAATAATAATAATAATAATAATAATAATAATAGGATAATAATGATTATGAAAATGATGATGATGGTAGATGGTGATAATGATTATAGTGATAATAACGATGGTGATGATGATAATGATTTACCTTTGCAAACACACATATCGCACCCATTCTCGTCCTGTTCGAAACCGTGCTCACAGTACATCATGCACATAACCTCTGGACACAAAGGGTTGGCTGAAATAATAATAATAATAATAATAATAATAATAATAATAATAATAATAATAATAATAATAATAATAATAATAATAATAATAATAATAATAATAGTAATACGTTTAATGATATTTGTATTGAGATGCAGTTACAATGCACAAAACTTCTAGGCAAAATGGGTTCTCTAAAATCAAATAAGATATTTGATTGATTAGAATTTTAATTATTATATATGTATATAATATAGAAGCTAATAACAACAAAGGCGGAACGACATCAGCTTAGCTCAGTCAGCTGAACTACAGTACGTTGGTGTTCACACTGTGTACGCTGAACAGGCCTATAGATCAATTCCAGACACTATGAAGCATAGATGATGTTGCAATAGCACACTGTCTCTCGGATGGGATTTCTAGCCGTTGATCCCGTTAAGAGGGCAAGGGATTGTCTCTCGGTGTAATGCCTAATTCCCCACTAAAAGGACCACCGAAATAAGTCAAGACTTCGTAGGTTATATACGGTGTATTTTACACCGAAAATTCAAGATATGATCAATGACGTCATTACCAGACTGATTTCAAAACTCTATTAAAAATGCCATAGCAGTGGTCTAATTTTAGTTCAACATCAAATTTAACATAAACTCAAACATTTCGAATTTGAAATAGTAACTAAAATAGTTTCAACAAAAGAATATAGGGTCTGTGCACTTACCTGGTTCCATGCATGTACGTCCGCAGCCGTTAGAACAACACTTCTCACTCCCTCCGCACGTGGCGTCGCCATTACATGTCTCGACGCACAAGCCAAATGAGCCGTTATTTACAACAGGACATATTCCAATTTTTTCAACTGCAACAAAATTATTTAAGCTGTTTTTAAATTATTACTTAATGTTTAAAAAACGGGGATTCAGTTACAGTATATCTTTCTTATTCCAGCGACAATCACTCATACACTGGACAGCACGAACAATTTCATGCCACTAGTAGGCATTGGAGAAATTAATAAATGATATTAGTAGACGATCGAATGATAAATTAATGATAAGTAATAATAATAATTAAGCTATACCCATAAGTAACTAATCAGTAAACGAATCAGAATATGTAAAATTCATGTGGGTTGTTGTAGGTGAAACACGCGATAT